TAGCAGGACTACCCGTGGCACATGCGGTTTTAAAGTCTAGTAAAGCCGTCCTACCACAAATATTCCTTCACCAAATAAAGAGAACGCGTGAAACAGGCGTTTGCCGAAACAGCGCGTGAAGCGAGCTGACAAGACGAGGGATCCAAAATCTGCGCGGACCATCTGTCCCAGTGTGTCCTACCCGTGACGTCACGAACGATGATGATGATAGCTATAGAAGCGCCCCCTGTAGTTTGAGAACGCCGCCAGAGCTCGGAACAGTTCACGTTGTGGTCGAATAAAACATCACCTAAACACGCAACGTAAATCATATTGTCTATAGCTTTCCTTATGGTTAAAAACCGAAACACACACACACACAAAAAGAAGTATTTAGAAAAGAACTTTATATGAACTGAGTTTCGTTTACATTGTATAGTTGAAAAAACCGGACACAGCTAGTGAAAGCTTCTTTTAGATACCGATAAAAATGCATTAAATTTATGGACCCGTATTTGACTTAATATCGAACGCTAAATGAGACCAGACAAATTTTAAGTAAATACATGTAAGAGCGCACATAGGAGTTTTGACGTGGGTACCGGAGTTTGCGTGTCCATATATGCTCACATTCAGTTTTCGGTGTGTGTGTGTTTGCTTGGGGAGGGGGGGGGGGGGGGGTTCATTTAGCAGTTTCGAATGAGGCTCAACTCGGATAAGACGTAATGACTTTAAAATATGATCTTCCTTGGTCGTAAATTCACTTCGGTTTTTCCGTTAGACCGTTCCAACAGGCCCAAACAACTAAACAAAATTGTCACGTAAACCAAGAGAGGCAAAATATGCATAAAAAAGGAGAAAAAAAAAAAAAAAAACAGACGCCGTCACAAACAGAATGCAAAACGCTTCAGCGCGATAATGGCAGAAGAGAGGGCGGAACTAGAGAGATGCAATATACGTCATTTCCGGTTGCCGAGTTTCTCCGCTCTGATTGGCAACGCCATGACAGAAAAACAAAAATAGAAAAGAATGGCGGCCTACAAGGGCGTTTTATCGTCAGCTTATGGGGATCGCTTTCAGATCTGATATATGGATTAATATAAATATACTAGGGACTGAAAGAAGGAAGAAAAGAAAGAGCGTTGTTAGTTCCGGGGTTTTGGGTCCGCAATGATCGTCTGCTATCCTGTTCGCTTCACGCGCTTCCATCTTGTTTTAATTTTGTGTGCTTAGCGTGTCTGACTTTTTTGTGCGAACAAGATATACGAGGAACACGTTCGACAAAAAATAAACATGTCCCTTCAAAAAAAAAAAAAAAGTACGGACCATCACAATATAAAAAAAAAATATATATATATATAAAAAAGATGGCAAAGGTTTGCAGACGATAAATAAGAAAGCTACTAACAACCTGTCAATTTTTTTCCTTTTTTCTTTACAGTTTGAAGATTTAGTTCGACTTGTTACACAAACGTACGCTTATTGAAAGAATAAAAATAAAAATAAGAACATTAAATCATTCGAAAACTACTCTTTGTTGCGTACATCTTTCTTTTTGACGCCTTTAACCTTGTAAAACACACTCCCAGACTGGCAGTGCGAAAGACGTCCTTCCTAAACAAGTAAACTAAAACAAAATGAAAAAGCCAACATACGTTTTTCAACAAAAACATACAAAAAAGAGGGGAAAAATGATGATGATGGAAGAGATAGCTGGGCTAGTTCAACCGGAAGTGGTCATCCCTTGCCCTTTTTCTGGGGAAAAAAAGGAGGCGCCGGAGGGGGTCAAGAGATGGGTTACTTCCGGTTGTTCCCGGAAGTGTCCAGGCGAGATCATAGCGCACGCTAAATCTTCCGGACTTGAGTGTTGTCCGGACTTTGCAGAGGTGTCATCCCTTCCTGCCCCTCCCCCTCTCCCCTCACTACCCTTTCCCCTCTTCCTTCCCCAATGGCAGTCTTCCGGACCTATTTCACGATTAAGGCCATCTCCAAAACACCGCTTACTTCTAAAGCATAACGAGCGAAATATAATATGGTGTAGTACTACTATGATATGCCGGGTGTTCCATTTTAATTCGCACAGATTTATTACAAGAAATCCGTAAAAGATGCACTAATACAGTTTGGGGAGGTGAGGGGGACATCAAATAGGTGGCTAATCTTTGGGATAAGTGGGATAATTAACTAAACTTCCTTAATTAACTTTTTTAATTAGTAAAAATACTCACATGGTTGCAATTAGGAATACGCTGAGCATAATCGAAAAAATCAGTTAATTTTAGAACGACTTGAAGCTAGCGGGACTGGAACTCGGGGGCGCATCACAGTTACCACTAGTGAAGCAGGCGCAAAGCTAGCAGTGGCATAACGTGGATTATTAGATTATCATCGCGTTTCGCCACTGCTAGCTTTGCGCCTGTTTTACCAGTAGTAACTTTGGCGCGCCCCCGAGTTTCCCACGAGCCTCAAGTCGTTCTACAATTGACTGATATACTGGTTTTCGATTATGCTCAGCGTATTCCTAATTGCAACCATGTGAGTATTTTTACTAATTAAAAAAGTTAATTAAGGAAGTTTAGTTAATTATCCCACTTATCCCAAAGATTAGCCGCCTAAATGATGTCCCCCTGGCCGTATAACTCACTGCTAAAACAGTGCATCTTTTACAGATTTCTTGTAATAAATCCGTTCGAATTAAAAGGGAACACCCGGTATAATATAATATCATAATGTCTCCTGCATACCCCCTCCTCTTGTGTAAGACGCCACGCTTATCCTGCCATAGCAGCATATATGATACCCGAACAATTATAACACCAACTCCAAAAATAAAAAAAAAAAAAAAAAAAAAAAAAAAGAAGTGTGACTTATAGTTTTGACGCTGCGCGAGATATTTCTTACTAAACTTAGTTGCCCGAAAAATAAAAATAAAAAACAAATCGACGTTTTTTTTTTTTTTTCTTTTTTTAAAGTTTTAAGCAGACGATTGCAAGCGAGGACACTGGCTGCCGCCATGTTTCTGCTCGTGCGGACAAACCCGTGCATTTTCAAGCTTGCTAGAGTTACGTTCCCGCGCAAGGTGCACATACTTTCACACATGGGACACCAGTCGGGAGTCATGCTTGGAATTGTCTGCTCATACATCATACCAAAAAAGATGGGGTTCGCTGCAGGCCTGATGACAGGATTATCGGCGTCTCAGACATATTGGAACTTCACACATGTTTGCATGAATACGTCTGCAGGCCGTTTCTGTATGACCCAATGAAATGGGTCCGTCATAAGTGGAAGAAACGCGAGCAGACGACGCGCGCTTTGTTGTCTGCTCGATGCGCCTATGGCGAGATGGTGGCGCCACAAGTTAATGTGGAGCGCAAGTTCGTCTGCTTCTTGCACAGGGGTTGCCATGATGTCGGAGCGCCGAGTTCTTATTGGCTGATCGAAAAAAAAAATAGTGGGTAGACCTTGAGGCATCTAGGACTAAGGTCTACCATCCTTCCAATCAAAGCCAATCGGAGCTCGGCATCGTTCTGACGTCACCGAAACCCCAGCGCAGGAAGCAGACGACTTGCTCTTCGCATAGCGTCGCTGAGCAGACCTCCAGCGAGTCCGTATAGGCATCAAATCGGCCTTCCTCGGGAGGCCTGGACTCCGAGGATCTACAGACAAGACGCGGCAATCGTGAACATCGTTCACAAGCGCGCGAGAGCTTCGATATGCTGAACACGTAACTCACCACGGAGCAAATTCAAATTCAGCACCAGCCGAGCACCTGCAGGGTCCCGGGACTCACATTTGACCAGGACGGGGGAGCCGCGAGATGGCTCAAACAGCGGACGACGCAATGGAGAGACGGAATGAGATGAAGGGCACCTAAAACAAATCACGTGGAGCGCAAGAAGAACTTCCATGGAGGCTAGTCGGAGCTCTAGTGGTGTCCAAAGCCGTCTACGGGTACAACTATCTGAGACTGACGAAGGCGGAGAAACAACAACAACAACAACAACTGAAGAGCTCCACAGGGCGGCGCCATGAGAATAATCGCTGGCCTATCGAAAATAACACCGATAGAAGACCTTCGCCAGGCAGCGCAGGTCAACTCGATATCAAAAATAGCGACAGAGATGTGTTGGTGGTGTCTCATTGGAGGGTTTGGCGTTTGAACTGGTTGGAGTGGCCCCTTTGTGTTGGTGGTGGCTGATTGCGGGCTATATAAGAAGGAGGACTGGATAGACCTGGTGGCTGAGTTTGAGACGTGGTCCTGTCCCTTTCTGTTCATTCGACTTTTGCGTTCTTTTCTGCTCCAGTCTCAGGTATATTCAACATGGTAGAGATGCAAATTAGTCAAAGAAAATAGGCTAGAAAAAACCTGCCATGGCAGGGATATTCTAGGGGAAATAACATTGCAAGTGACCAGCAACGTATTCCGCCACTCCCGTGGGAAAATGAAGCATGGTAGAGTTCAAGACAGTTTCAAGGAATCGAGGGACTCAACTAGCCGGCCGTAGGAAAGCTGCGAGCAAGAAACACAGGAGATCATCGAGCAGCTCAAGAAGCAAGAAAATACAATGATAAACTACACGGACGCCGCTAGAGACGAGAAAGGAAAAACCGCCATCAGGCTTCAAGCTTCACAGAGTGAACCTGCTAAAGCATCAACAACGCTCACAGAAAACCAGAATTGCCATCACTGGTCAGTTTTATTCGTTCTTCAGGCCTGATCCCCTACATTTGATTTCCTTCCCCACAATATTGACAAAGAAGCAACGACATAATCACTTTTTTTTTCAATAAACGTATTTACTATACTGCTAGGAACTCGGTCATCCGAGAAAGCGTTCGACGTTGGCAAAATAGTTACTCCCGTTTTTTGTGTTTTTTTTTTTTACCGGAAGAGAACTACCTCTCGGAATTTTTCGCAGTAAAAGTGACCTGATCAGTGCACATTCGGTGAAGGTTCAAGCTTTCTTTGTGCAGGCGCCGATTTTCCTGGCTCGTTACAGCGGAAGAAAACTACTCACCGGCCGACACCCTGAGTATCCCCGTGGTCTCGACGACGTTTCGTCCGTCGCTTGCCTCGCAGCGGTAGTAGCCCGTGTCGTGAACGTCAGCGCTCACGATCCTCAGCCGGGACCCGTAGCCGGCTGCACTCGCCGAGGTCGAACCGGGAGAACCCGAACCGGGAGAACCTGAACCGGCCCCTCCGCCGCCGCCGGCGACGGGGGTACTGTCGTATCTCGAGTCGATTCCGCTCTTCCTGCACCGGCGCGTCGTTCTTGAACCAGCTGAAGACGATCTTGGCACCCACAGCGCCGCCGGCCACTTCGCACTTGAGTCGGACGCTGTCGCCGCTGTCCCGGGTCATGTTGGTCAGGGGACGCCGGACGTGGAGCTTCGAGAACGAGTCTGCGAGTTTGAGAGTGGACACGTTTCGTCAGAAAGAGCAATACCATATACTGTCGAGCCCGGTTATAACGAAGTGAACGGGAATCGGAAATTACTTCGCTATATCCGCTATTTCGTTATAACCGACTTCGGTTATAACGAAGTGCAAAAGGAAATGGGAAATCGTGATCGCTTCGCTGTAGCCACTATTTTGTTATAACCGACTTCGGTTATAATATAATGAAGTGCGAAAGAAAATGGGAAATCGTGATCGCTTCACTGTAGCCGCTATTTCGCTATAACCGACTTCGGTTATAACGAAGTGGAAAAGAGAATGAGAAATCGTGATCGCTTCGCTATATCAGCTATTTTGTTATAACCGACTTCGCTTATAACGAAGTGCAAAAGGGAATGAGAAATTGTGACCGCTTCGCTGTAGCCGCTATTTCGTTATAACCGACTTCGGTTATAATATAATGAAATGCGAAAGAAAATGGGAAATCGTGATCGCTTCAGCGTAGCCACTATTTCGCTATAACCGACTTCGGTTATAACGAATTGCAAAAAGGAATGGGAAATCGTGATCGTTTCGCTATATCCGCCATTTCGTTACAACCGACTTCGGTTATAACACAGTGGAAAAGAGAATGGGAAATCGTGATCGCTTCGCTATATCCGCCATTTCGTTATAACCATCTTCGATCATAACGAAGTGCAAAAGGGAACGGGAAATCGTGATCGCTTCGCAGTAGCCGCTATTTCGTTAAAACCGACTTCGGTTATAGTGAAGTGGAAGGGGGAATGGGAAATCGTGATCGCTTCGCTATATCCGCTATTTCGTTATAACCGACTTCGGTTATAATGAAGTGCAAAAAGAATGGGAAACCGTGATCGCTTCGTTGTATTCGCTATAACCGACTTTGGTTATAACAAAGTGCAAAAAGTGATGGGAAATCGTGATCGCTTCGCTGTAGCTGCTATTTCGTTATATAACCGACTTCGCTATAACCGGTCTCGACAGGAGACGACAAGTAGGCCTTGTCTTCTAGGAGGTCTTAGAGAGGGCAAGTTTTTCGGCTTGTTTGGCCATGCAGTCAGAGGTACGGAGGCGCGTGCATGAAGGCTGAATAAAGCTGTGCACGCGCTCCTCCTCTGATCGGAAATGCCACAGAAAGTTGTCCCCGGGGGTTCACTGGCGGCCATAGCCAAGTCCGCGGCTGCTGAGTGCGTGCTAACGGCGAGCGTTCAGGGCAGGGAACAGCGCACTCAAATATGGCGTCCAGTGAATACCCTATACCGCGTGAGTTGAATGAATCCTTGGCCTTTTGGAGGGACCGCATAAAACGGTTATCTCAACGTACCGAGTTTACGTGAATCCCTCGTCGTAAGCGGTGGCAGCTGCGACGCACTTGGTCATACTCAAACGCGAATGTGTGAACCGGCCTTTACTCCGCCTCCCACCCAACTTATGTCACCAGTCAATTGAAGCGACACCTTTCTAACACGCCGCGGTCGCTCTCTGAACTGCTGCGCGCCGCAGTGGGCCGAAAGGGTGGTGCTTCAATGAGTTGGTGACGAATGTCGGCGAGAAGGGGAGGTCTGCGTCTCGTTGGAAGTTTGCCACGAGGCTATCAGACATGGCAGCAGACAAAGTGTATGCAGCCATTATTTTACGCTTGATCGTCACCAATTGACACATGAAACATGTTTGTGATCAGGCTGTACTGCATGCCGATGATTTATCTGATTGCCAACATCAGATGTCGATGGACAGTGTTAGATAAGTTTTCGGTTAGTGAGACCAACTATATACGTCTTGAGATCCAAAGCATTTTTTTTTTTACGTGAAATTTTTTGCTGTGCACCGTTGACACCCGAAGGAGGAATGTTGGCTTTTGTGTCGGCTTCAGACATATTTGTATCCACTGACCTTTTTCTTTCTTTCTCTGGGGCTTCTCGGGTTCGCCGGAAGGGCCGCCACTGTCCCTGTGACAAAAAGAGCAATGACACGTCAACGACGAGAAAATATCGGCAAGGCCAATGACACAAGTCCAAAATCAGTGACTTTCGTTTTTAAAGAGAGAATGCTTAAATTATTTTAACGGGATTCCCTAATCCCAAAAAATTTGGTTCGTTCGTTCGTGCATTTTCCCCTTAAATTTAGCGGGAAAATTGCAGTCACGTGGCTCAACGTAACGTGACCTAAACGCCGATTCAGTTTTCCCGCTAAATTTAGCCCAGAAATTGACGTCGCTTGACTTATACAAGAATTCAGTTTCCCCGCTAAGTTTAGCGAAAAAATTCGTCACGTTATTTATACACCAACTAATTTTCCTCCGCTAAATTTAGCGGGCAAACGCATACAAAAAAATAGGGGGTATTGACTACAAAAACATGCTTTTAAGTATTGCTTCCTGAAGACTGCACTGTGCATTAAAAGACTGGATAAAAAGCTCCCTGCCAATCTTTTAGTGCGAAAGCTTTCTGGATTCTTCAAGATGCTCCGAAAAAGTTTGCTCGAAGTTAACGTGCCGTGTAACTGTGATTTAGGTTTTAGGTACCACTCCTGGAGCCTACATACTTTTAACATTTCAGTTTCATATTTCAACTTCAAAAGTACGAAGAATCGCATTTGCCGTCGTAATGCATCCGTCTCCATAAGCACAAATAGAACGGTACGCCGATTTTTTTTTCTTCTTCTTCTTTTTGAATATAGACGACGTTTAATTTGTTGTTGCAACAACAGAAACATTAAAATAGCAAAAAAAGCTGAAATAAAACTTTTTTTTTTTCGACAGCAAACCAATTTCGCCAGTTCAATATTTCAGCCTCTCCAAAATGAGATGGCCTTTTTCGTTAGCTTCTATCTTTTTTATCGGTTTTTCAATGCGGCATTTACATTGAAAATTTATACGTGGAATTTTATGTATGTATGTTTTTTCCTATATCTTAAGCATGTTTTTTTTTAGTTTTTGTTTAAACATTTCTGGGTCTTGTTTTCTTTAGATCTTGTCTCACGTTACCATGCAAACACGTACAGCTTTACTTCTTACTTTTTTCCTTACTTTTTTTTTTTTTACTTCCGTCGTACGTATTTTTCTTTATTATACTTAGTTTGCATTGGGACACGCGCACGGAAACGTGTTATTAAGAAATCCAAAACTCTTTGAATCAAAAACTTTTTTTTTTTTTTTTTTTTTTTTTTTTTTGCGTCGTATTTTGTCTTTTTAGATCACTGTACGCGAGAAAACGTAAACTTCTCGCTATACCATGTTTTTTCGCCGCTATGTTTTTTTTGTTTGTTTTTTCAACTTACGGTCATAGCATACGGAACGCTCCACAAGCCATCGAAGCCATTCCAACGCGGTGCGAATGTCATGTGCCCTTGGAGAGGGGCGCATGGACGCAGTCACGTGGTACCTTCGCGACTCTGGATTGGCTGAGATCACTCGTACCGTCACGACGTGGTCCGCCCTAATCCCAAACGGAGCGTACGTATACACCGATGCACCCTTCCCATCTCGTCAGCACCATTTTGACGTCCCCAAAATGTCTGCTCTTTTTTTTTTTTTATTTTTTATTTTTTTTTTTTTTTTGAGACGCGGAAGGCATTCAATTTGGACGTTAATATATACACGCTTGGCGTTAGGGAGAAACTTCATTTGCATGTGCCAGCGTCGCTCTAAACATCTTTTTTTTTTTCTTTTTAAGCCCCTAATTTTATTGAGGATTACTCGTTTACTGGCCGAGTTCTTGTTCAACTCGTTTGTTTAACGCGTGTGTTTCGCCGGCATCGATTTTAATTCTGTGCTGGCATTTGAGAGACAAAGCGCGATTCGTGCTTATACTTCGTTCGCCCTTAAGCTGAGACAGCAGCCAATGTCACAAGCACGAGAGCTAGCGGGTTCGATCAAAAGCATCGCTCTGGTCAGCCTTCCACAATTGGCCGAATGTTGACTATGACATCAGCAAAGGATATCTAATCGACAGAAATAAGAGGAATGCAAGAACTTCAATTTCGACGGTGTTGGCGGTGTCACTTTCAGAGCGCAAGAATTTCAAACGTCCACCTTGCTCATTACAAACACCATGGAACTTGTTGTTCGCAAGGTAATGACGTCACGAGAGGAAACTATATGAAGGCACCACCAAAACATCCCCCCGCTAATAGAGGTGAACTAAAGCACATTGATAAAGGCGTTTTTTTACCAGTACCGCCAACGATTGTTGTGGAAACGCGCAAGACACGTGCCACGAGCTGCAAAGCCCTATATGTAAAGTAAAAGCCGTATATGTAAAACCACGTGTGTAAAACCATAGCCTCGTCTATACTGACAAAGCCTGGCAGATCGTCACGTGACGCGACCGCTGAAAATGGAAAGGTAGAGCGGCAAACAAGAGTCGTGTAACGGAGCGCCCCGCTGCGGCGAGACGCCGAGACGCACTTGTCTCGAGCGATGGAATGTCCGCTCGTGCTCCTCGCGTTCGTCGGGCTACCGCTTCTTTTCTCGTCGGGTTTGAAAACTATGTTTCGGGTCCTTGCCGCTGGAAAAGCTGTGCGCTGAAGACCCGACTTTCCGAGAAATGCTCTGTGCTACCAGATCCTCGCGATCCAAATCTGCGACCAGGCACTCTATGGATTCGTCATCGAACTGCCAGGCTTTGTGAGTATATAGGAGATATGGTAGAGAGTTTGGCCATTCATTTGGAAGTATAGGAGACAAATGAGAAGGCGCCATTGGCCGGAGGAGTGCCGGGCGTGTTCCAGGGCGTCTTCACAAATTCGAATGCGGCCAACCAGAAGCCGGAAATGATACCCTGGCGGTGGTCGCCAGAAACGAAATTAATAAGGGCGTCGGACTAACTCTCGGTGACTGAAAATATGGTGCACGTGACGTTTCAATCACGGTCATCCGAAATCATGGTGGAAGAGCGCGACTAGCGGAACGATCGACATAATCCGCACGGCAGGCACCGAGGGCCGGGAATCTGCCGTCCGAGCGGTCACACTCTGTCCGAGCAAAACAGAGTTCGAGCGGCAGATTCGTTTCTTACATTTTTCTGCATGACCATACTCGAAACTTCACGTGCACCCTATTTTTAACCAGGAAGGGTTACTACATTTAACTCTTACGCGCTTATTAAAACCATGTACTTATAATTAACACAGTTTCTCGCTACCACCGCTAGGGGATTCTTTTCGGCTTCTGGTGGGCAAAGAGAGCACGTCAAGCCCACTTTCTGCGTCTGGAGCACGCCCTGGCTCTGCCCGCGCCCTCCCATTGACCAAACTCTCTCTATACACGGCTCTGGGTTTAGCAAGTGATAGAAAACGCGTTCAAGGACAAGGAACGCCTTGACGACGCGCTTCTGGCGCTGTTTGAATGTCTCCGTCGGTTCACAGCGTGGGTCGCAGTCAAACTAGACCGATCTCACCAGCCACTTTGACTATATACGCCACCGCTGCCGCAATGCCTCGAGTCTTGCATTGTGGCATCAGTCTTCCTGCACGTGCGGCAACCTCGCTGGAGCTCTGCGCGTGCATAGAGCACGAGACGGCACGAGCCTTCTCGTGCACTACAGTTTGCCTCCTCCGAACTAAAGTTATGGAAGCGTCACGCATGCGCCGAACTCTTGCTGAGATTGGTCTACTGAAGCGAGACGGAGCCTATAGGCACACCCGTGGGATGTGGCGACTACCCATCGCGAGTTTGGGCCGTGCGAAGGACCCCGTCGAATCCGGAGTTCGCGCGAGCGCCCATAGGCAGCCCGCGCCAAGCCGTCTCGGCGCCTTAACTTAGGAGCGGCTCTTACCAAGGGACTGCCCTCATAAACGCTGGATGACATGTGAGTGACGGACATGGCGGAGCGCCTTTTGTCCTAACATTTTCTCTACTGACCCTTTCCGAGACAGTCCGGTCACTTATACCACTCATGATCTACGGCAAAAACCACTAGTTGTTTAGACGGCCAGAATATGGCGACATTATTACACGCTGTATAGACCTTTCCAGCAGCAGTCTCGAACAAAGCGAGCGGGCGAAAAATGCTGAGTCACTGAGCTGTGGACGCATGCGCAGCGTCTGATATACCACACAGCAGATCAACAGCGCATGCTTGGAAGGCGTTCCACAGCCCAGCAGACAAAGATGGCAGCGCGCAGGAGGCGATTTCTGCAAAGGTCTATAGATGGGAAATGTAGCCACTGCAGTATATGACTGCTAGCTTCGGGTCTTTAGCGTGCGCCGCGCAGTATAGTGATACACGACCGCAAGCCGCGGATGCCACTCACGTATAGATCGAAACGGGCAGGAATAGGGATTGAACGGTGTGAGGCGTCCAATGATGGCTTCTGGCGACTGATGAACAAAGAAGTTGTAGTTAGACTCCGAGGCGGATCACATGGCCATTCATAGAGAGTCGTTTGCTCATATTTCCTTACGTTACTTACGCTATAACTAGGTTTCCGTGTTTTCAGATAAATTCGACAAAATCTGAAAAAAAAGAAAAAACACTCGCCGGTGAACTATTTATTAATCCGGAGTTCTCCGAAAAACTACGAATGTTGATGCCACGATGGTGAAAGGAAAGACAAATAAGAAAAAAAAACTTTTTTCTACAAATATGCTTGGGTTAGTGTATCGAGGAAAGCGGCCTCTCCTGTTTTCTTTCAAATCTCGGACTACTCGCATCGCAAAGGGGGCTTACCGTTTATCTCGTCAAGTCTTGTTCGGAACAATGGGTCATCGTAATTTTCGGCCACGACAAAAGCCTCTGTTCTAGTGTTCAGTTTGGACTTCTTAGAGGAAGCTGGGATTCTGTTTTCGTAACAGCGAAAGCGTCCAACAAAAAAGGCAGTGGCGGGGGGGGGGGGGGGGGGGGGGAAGGTTTTGCCTCACCACTTTACTTCGAGAAGTCGCACGGCAGAGTGGGAGAACTAGCGGAGAAGAAAACGAGCTTACAAGAGACTACGTGAAGGATTTCAG